GCGCTCTTTGTTGGGGTTCAGAGCGAATACATGAACCTCAGACAGTTGAAATCGAGCCTCTTTCCCATCTACTGAGACTGAATTCCTGATTTCGATGGGGCTTGACCCAAAGCAGTCAATATTCACCAAATAAAAACAAGTGTACATTCGCTTTTGCAGTAGTACAACAGTAAGTACACCACTTAGAAGACAAGAGCTCTTAAGTGAAAGTTCTATGCTCTCGTTTGCTTTCCTTGGAGCAGTGCTAGAGCCAAATAAGCGCTACATTTGTTACATGGCATATGAAAAGTAAAATGAAGTAAAGAAATGACCAATTCAAGTACGCGTTCTGTCAGGACGTAAAGAACATGCTCACGATTTCTGTTTTTTTTTCAATCTGATTTTATCTTGTTTTTTGAATCTATTACTCCTTAGGTGCTTCTCTGGTGTCATCCCCTTCTCCTCCCACCTACCACCCTCCTCAATTTTTTCCCAGCGAAACGTACCCCGACCACAGATGACCTGTGGTCTAGTCGAGAACTTAAAGACACATGGTACGCTCAAAACATTGAGGGTGTATGAGACTATCAGCCCCCAGCTGTCGATGTGTCGTGGTCCCCCCCCAAAACTGCACGGGGTCAGAGTACGGGCCGTGGGAAAGTCGTAATTCCTTGCTACGCCGCCCGTTTTCGCAAACTCACGTTTTTACTAACACCGTCCGCGCGGCGCGGTCGCGTGCAGCTCTCTTGGCTTTTTGCCCCTGTAATTGCGCTTTGGAATACAAGTACAACGCAATTTCTTTATGCGGATAACATTTTAGGTGCTGCAAAATAAGAACCGAAGATGACGAGGGCTAGAACTCAAGAGCAACTGTGCTGCTTCAAGAGCAACTGTGCTGCTTCTGCAACAGCCCTCGCAGGCCGCGCATTCCCACAAAACATCAAAATAAAAACGGCCTAAGCGTCCCACTCGTTAGTTTGAAGTATTTCTATAGCATTAGAGCCGGATTCGAGCCGGATCGCAGAAATGCACACGATTTTAATTTATTGCGTTTCCTTAGTTTTTTCAATTTTGTTTTATTTACATCTACATTCGTTGTTGTTCATTTCTAGCCTTTGTCATCTTCATCACCTTAGTAAAAATGAAGTAAAGAAATGACCAATTCAAGTACGCGTTCTGTCAGGACGTAAAGAACATGCTCACGATTTCTGTTTTTTTTTTCAATCTGATTTTATCTTGTTTTTTGAATCTGATTTGATCTTGTTGATCTTGTTAATCTTGAATTTGATCTGTTAAACGATTCTTTTTATGATACTGCGTATTATTTCCAAAAATGGCGCCGTGTACTTCTTATCCCTGAGACAGAGTAGGCGTGGCGTTTGCACATGGTCACAGGATGGGTTACTCGTGGATATTTCAACACGAGACAACTGTCATCTTGTTCTGTGTTGGACAAAGGCATCTCAAAATGAAATATGTCATCTTCATCACCTTCTATTCGGACTTTGAAGCATGAGCAATACCTCAAATGTTAGGAAATTGCGTTTTGCTTGTATTGTCATGTTTTATTGTCATGTTGTCCGTTTTTATTGTCATGTTCTGTGGGAATGCGCGGCCTCTGAGGGATATTGCAGAAGCACCACAGTTGCTCTTGAGTTCTAGCCCTCGTCATCATCTTCGGTTCTTATTTTGCAGCACCTAAAATGTTATCCGCATAAAGAAATTGCGTTGTACTTGTATTCCAAAGCGCAATTACAGGACTTGGCAAAAAGCCAAGAGAGCTGCACGCGACCGCGCCGCGCGGATGGTGTTAGCATAAACGTGAGGGCGGTGTAGCAAGGAATTACGACTTTCCCACGGCCCCGTACTCTGACCCCGTGCAGTTTTGGGCGGGGGGACCACGACACATCGACAGCTGGGGGGCTGATAGTCTCATACACCCTCAATGTGTTTGAGCGTACCATGTGTCTTTAAGCAAAATTTTTCTAGACCTAGGGTAGATCATCAAAGGAAACAGGGAGTCGGAACTTCCACCTTTTCATGGTTAGATTATTGATTCAAAAAAAAACGTGAACACCACTGCTTAATAACCAACCGATTCGGCGCTATTTACCCTCACCACTCTACACCCACCCATTATCCCAAAAATTTTCCCTCCTCAAAAACTGCCGGTGTGAAGGGGTAGGTAGGACGAATGGGGTGGAGGGGGAGAGGTACCTACTCCGATCACAGATCACCTGCAGGCTGGTGGGGCTCTCTCAGACCCTCGAAAAAGAGGACGTCAAATCTTCCACCTTTTTGCCAGATTACCAATACAAAAAACCTGCAGTCACTATGGCTCAATAATCAAAACAATTCGACGCTGTTTTCCCGTCCTAATCTCCTGGAACCTGGCCAGATTTTCACCGACCTTTCTCTTGAAAGCAGATTAGCTCAAAGGCTGTCCCCAGGTGTAGTTCGACCTCGACACGAATATCACATCCACCTGGTCCCGAAATGAATAGCGTCCGCGCCCAAGATACGGTACCACATGCTTGTTCAAACGCCGGCTCATCTAACGTGGACCTTAAGCGATTTGCTCGGGCAATTAGAGGGCAAGCAACGCCTTTTTTTGTTGACTGCAATAGTGATCCTTCCATTTGCTTACGCTCAGGGGTGGAAAGGGTGGAGAGGAGCAGAAGCAGGCCGCACTGGGTGCCATGCAATGTGATTTTTGAGTTCAGCGTGTCAAGCTACCTCTGACAGTGAGTAAATTCAGCAATTTTTTCAGCAAATTTGATGACTTGGGAAGGCGGGCGTTTGGGGTATGGCATAAGCGCCAGCCGCCTACATGTCGAACGGGCACGTTATTGGCCTTGAAAAGATCAAACGACTCATGGGGCAAGGAAAAACTGATGATCTGAGGCCAACTTCGAAAAAATAGGGCGGTAGGGGGAGACTAGGGCCCAAAACTCTGCCCCAGTGAGTGTCGGAAACAGATTCTGAGTGAAAATTAGAAACTTGGCGGAAAATGAGAGGCAAGGCGAATCCATTAAAAATCTCCGCGTATCTAATTCACATTGACGTTGCTTTTAAGCCTTCTTATAAGCTAGCATAATAAATCCGCATTATTTTTTGTGCCGTTAATAAATTCCCAAGAAGTATAAAAATATATATAGCACGGCTAACTCAAGCCTAAAAAATCATTGAAAACAAGAATTCAATGACTATGTTGAAAAATCGAACGAGGGGGAACACCGAGGTGAGGGAAGCAAAGAGGTAGCTCAGCTTCCGTTTGGCACGTGCACTTAGGCGGAAGCCGAGCAAAAGCGTAGCCCTTCCTGAGAACTTGTGTCCCCAGAAACGGATTTAGTGTTGTAAGAGAAATTTTTGAACGAATTTATCGGTTGGCTAGTACGCTTGCGGGTATCTGAATTGACAAGTAGAAGCACATACCACTAACACTTTTCACAAGTACTAATTCCACAGTACTATCAGCCTTCAGGCGTTGAATTAGGCTGAACAACAAACGAAGATTACTCGATTATCGAAAAACATTCGTTTTTGCCCTGGAAATAGCGAAGGGTGGCGAAAAATTAGGTGCGCCATAAGGAACGGTACAACTCAATTTTGCGCTCAGGCGCTTTTGAAGGAAAATTTTTCATAGAAGTAGGAGCCGGGGCTCTTCACAGTAACAGAGAATTTTGAGGATCTGTCACCAGTTGTGATAAATACTTCAAGTCGTTCCTCCATTTAGGCAATAAAGCGGAGGAGGTAGTCAATGTCGAAGTTCGCCCATATTTTCAAATTTGTCCGTTTTACAAAGTCATCAGACACTTTGACATTTGACTCGTTAAGCAGTAACTACTGCTTTACCACTCTCTATGCATGCAAGCCCAATGGGTTCAGATTTCGGGCTGCCAGAAGGTCCTCCATCAGAAAAAAAAGCTATTTTGGTGGAAAGGAAGTGGATCATTGTTCCGCCCCTATGGATTAAAGCACAATCCTGTTAGCAGATAAGGTTAATATTATTCCTAAATAAATATTTTGACTTCAGCAAATGTGCACAATTGCTTCAAATAACGTTTAAAACGGAATTACGTACCACCGCAAGTATGTTTTCACCACCCTTTCCAATATGACACATTCCTCGAACGCTGCACATCACCCGTTGCGGAAATATTTTGCAAAATACGCCTCTCACAGTTTTTCTCCGGTACTTTAAACCCACACAATTCGCCCATATTCTTACTAAATTTTCCCAAAATTTAGCGCTGTCGAGTAGTCAAGCAGGAGGGGGGGGGGGGTGGGTCACGGCAAGAGCGGGATGGGGAAAAATCAACACACGACCTTCTACGTTGTAATCTCCCACAGCGGATGAAATGCCTTGTCCGCGACTGCAAGGCATGGATAGCTTGACATGCCAATAAGGAAAACGCCGATGGAATAGGTGGTAAGGCCCCAAATAAGACCCTCACACTCCATGGGCATTTGATGTAGTGAAGAGCGCGACTTCTCCTCCACAGACAAGAGAGCAGAGAAAAATGTAAGATGGGAAGACAGGACAGGAAGATGCACAAAGCAACAAAGGTCGTTGTTGCACAGAACGAAGCGTTTGAGACCTGTCCCTATGGACCTCGGACAGTTGCAGCTCCGAAGGGTCAGTTCAGCTTGGTTGTCAGCTTCAGACCGGTGCAGCAACTTCTTAGAGTAGCGTTACTACAGCTAAAAACTGCGCAGCGCCCTCGTCACGCTATGCCGAGCCGCGAATGTGGCAAAGCTTCTGTGACTTCAGAGGGGTTACCCATACAGGTCACGTCTATCTGCCAGTAATCGTGGAATGCGTATTTAAACTTCTGGGGGTATTCAGATTGATTCACAAGTAGCACCGCTCACCAGAGCAGGAGTTACTGCTTTGGACCAATCAAGGACGGACCCAGAATGGAATCGCTGTAAGGGTTTGAGAGTCCTAGATCTATTATGACCTTTACAGGATATGAACGACTACACATCATAAGAAGCTTGTACAAGCCAGTATTACTTTACTCACCAAGTGGATTCCGTAGGAAGTCAGGCAGCTGACGTTTACGAACGACAAGCGACCTCGACAAAGGAGGGCTACCTGAACAGGTGATGATCGCATTTCATCTCTGATTAAACTACTTCTTGCTAAATTGTTTCACCTTTATTTCGTTTCCGTTCTCCGCCTTTACTTTCCTTCGGTGGCAGCTCGATGTTCAGCTGTTTATCGACCTGGAATTCACATCATCATAAATCATTCTTTACACCCTTTCTCTCGATTACGATAGCCGATCAAAGTGTGATTGGTTGAAGGACCCACTAAATGACCAATATACATCGGAAAAAAAAGTTCCCATTGTGCTTTCAGCTGTACTTTTCCTTCATTTATTTGCATCAAAGCTTAGTGATTTTTGTGCTTATGCTTACTCTCATTTCTACGAGTAAGAAATAAGAAAAATCATCACACCGTTGGATCCGGTACTGGAATGTCGCCTTCTTTCTTCTCACCACCTTCAAAATGTGCTGAGCAGATTCGTAGCTGAAACATTGCTTGAATTGTTCTCACACATGAAAAACATATCCATTTTTTCTCAGCTGTTTGTCAAGTTACTAGTAAACTCCACTAATTGTAGAGTAATCGGCACGGTTCGCCTAAGGGAAGGGCATTTTGCGCTTCCGCTGCTCCCCGTTGTCGTGTCAAGCCATCAAAAAGGGATCTGTGCAGGGCACATTCGTTGGGGTTACTCAACAGAGGGGATCGCATTCGGTCTGAGAACATTTATTGATGGTTGATCTTTTTGTCATGGACACTACAAGGGAGGGAGGGGGGGTATTTCGCTCGTTGTTGGGAGAGGGGGATCGTAATTGCCTTCTGAGAGAAATTTGCGGCGTTGGAAGGAATTTTTCCCGGTTGTTGACTTTTCGCGGTTTTTCCCGTCCCACTTGAGCAATATACCCCATCTCCCTCCCCCCTCCCCCCCCCTCGATCGTAGAGGGGGGAACTAGCGGGGTCATATCAAGTCACCTTTTGGGGGGGGGACGTCCGGACTCAACCATTGATGTGCCCTGGACCGGTGAAATTTTGTCAAGCACAAAGTGGCATCAGTCAAAGCTTGTAGGGACTACTTGATAACACTTGTAAAGAACACCTGTCAGATCCTGTGGAGCAATGAACGCGACAACGGGAAGCAGCGAAATTGCAAAATGCCCCCCCCGCCCCTTTATACGCCGAGTTATCGCTCGTGAATGTGAAGTGATGCGCTATTTCTACCGGCTTGTGGCGGCTCCAGTCAGCTTCACTGTTCCCCCAGGGCAGTGCGGCTGCCTGGCAACCTGGCCACCATCGCAATTTACACCACAAATAGATAAACGGATACTCATTAGAATCTGTCTGACATCGATTCCTATTCACATAAAGCCGGTTGAAATAGTTTCCGTACAACGCGGCTCTAATTTGAAAGGACGCTTTGAAAAACGAACTTATCAGTAAGAAGAGTTTGATAAAAATTCTGGCAAAGTGCCAATTGTAAGGAAGACGAAAAAGATAAGCAATGTGATACCGCTCAAAAATTTTCAAGCAATTTCTTTCACAGTAAGCAAAGCCTCTCATTGAGCTCATGCACTGATACTACTTTTAACTTAGTTGAGAACTTTCAAACAGAAAATCCCAAGAGCAACGTTGCTTCCTGGACAGACTGCACGCTCACCTCCGTGAGTTCTGGTCCTCGCCGCGCCGTGGGTGAGGAGAGCGGGTCAGCAGCTGCACTACACGTTTTCCGCTCGAAAGTACATAGAAATGGTACTGTAAGGCAGAGGTTCCCCACTGTCACCTCCATATTCCGTCCACGCTATCCTCAATGTGTAGCTGCATCGATTCTAGGGCACGTTGGGGGATTCCCAGCGGGTAGGAGGTCGTATTCGGTTGCTGGAAGGAGGGGCGTCGTACTCGATGTAAGAAAATCTTTCTTAGTGGGGACTTTCCCATTTCGCAGGAGCTATTCACATCCGAAAGCTACCACTTTCGGAGCGCGCGCTGCGGCGTTAAACAACAGGTATCAAACCTAAGCAGTTCACATCGCTGGGAGAATTCCAATGGTGGGGACGGTAAATGCTCGTCTCTAAAAAAAAAGGGGGGGGTTCGCCTATAAGTTTGCCATGTTGCGGAAAACTAATGCTATTCGGTTTGCTGAAATTCAGCGGTTTTTCGCCATTTTCGCTGGGCCTAGGATACAAGTGATTATATGGTTAGGGAACGGGATACCCAAAACATCATAGGGACGAACTCGGCGGAGTGGGAGGGGGGGGGGGCGGGGTTGGAGGGGCGGGGGAGTGGAGTGCGCATTTTCCTAAAATTTCCCCCAGCGGCAGGACGTGCCTCGATCGCTGACAAGGTCCCGCAAGGAAACACGCGCTCAGTAGAGAATAACCAGTAGTGAGAGTGCGAAGATAAGTAGCGCGCTTGGCCATGGTCAGGCGTAGGCTGGCTGTGCGGCAGTGTGGGCAGATCATGGGGATGCTACCCAGGCATCATCACCCCCCCCCCCCCACTTCCTGTGCATTTCTGACCGGAGAAAGTGGCACGGAGCTGCAGCTGCGGACCCATTCTCCTCGAACATGACACGGTAGGGGTTTGCAGTGGAGGTGAGTGTAGGGTCTGCCTTTAATAGTAATGAAGCGAGTAACGAAAGCAGATATATAAGTAAGCTTTTACGATCACAGTAAGCGTCGCTACTTCTACTAATTCGTAGCAAAAATGTGGCGAATTTTGGGCGAATTCATCACAACCAGAAGTGAATGAAGGTCTGGTGGTTGTTCACTACCTGACTGACGACGGTCTCCTCGGTACGTCCAATGGCAAGTAACCAACGTTGACGTAATACTTGTGGTCGTTTTGGTATACGATAGAAATGACGATTATCTTCTTGTCCACGATAACGTGATCGGAATTTGCAATTCGGGAAGCCGCACGTGGTCGGCATGTCCCACGGGTTCAACAACAGCTAACAAGCGCACACCATACAAGCCACTGTGTGTACTTCAGCAACAAAATCAAGCAGCTAGCATAACATCCACTAGATATGAGCTATACAAATAAGAATGTAAAGCAGTTATACTTGTACAAAAGCAACGAAATACAAAAGCGAAAAGTAACGCCGAAATAGCGACACAAAAAGGCAAACGAATGCAAGACCAAAGAGAAGTTAGAGCTAAACAGTTTTTTTTTCCAAGCTACAGATTGACGTGTGCTTGAAGGAAAGACAAAAAGAGGTTCAGGACTATACAGAAGAGTAATTCATCAGTTTACCTCAGGTCAGTAATAATCGCTTGACTTCTAAACTTACTAGTTAGATTGACTCAAACCAGAAAACCTAACAATCCAAAAGTAAGTAATGTCTGCCCTGTCGCCACGACTTCCAGTTTTCACTTCAATGAAAGTGTCTACCAATGAGTAATTAATCAATAGTACCAATTATCAGTTTCCCACTATGCGAAAAAACCCATTCAGTGGCCCTGGCAACACTCTTGCACTTTTTTCTCAAGTTGTTTCTGCCGGTGTGACTTCCATTCATGTATCTGTGGCTAAGGTAAGTGTAATCAAAATTATTCCACTTGGCATTTCAAAGAGAGAAATTCCTGCCATGAAACGATGAACTGGTAACCTTAGTCATTCCGTTAAAGATGCGCCATGCACATGAATCACATGCACAGCCGTAGAGACACTTTGAATGACCACAGATTGAGATGGGCGACCAAGACCGTACGTACAAACCTGCATTCTTACCCAACCAGGCAAAACCTACCCAAGATAGGGATACGGAGCCCCAGATGGAAGGTGCTGCTGGGCTAGCAAGGATTCAATCTTTGGAGAGTGTGGTGGATGTCCGAACAATACGCTACCGCTCCAACTCTCCCCTCCCCCACCTCTTCACTTGTCAGCAGAAAAGGAAGGGCTTCCAGGAGACCTTGTACTGGAAAAACTCAAATTTTTAGCGTTTCATGGCACATCGTACGTCGGGATACCAGCGACTGTGTCGTACTTGGTGGCTGTAGGGGGCGGGGACGGGTGGAGGGGAATCATCTTTGAACTGGAGAATCTTTTTGGGAAAGTGGTAAGTTGGGAAAATTTCGGAAGATAGTATGTTTAGTAGGAGACAGGGAAAGGAGGATCGTACCGGAGCAGGAAATTTTGAGAAGGGTCGTATTTTTGCAGAAGAAGTCCCCCAACGGCATGATCTGCCTTGTTTATCAGTTTATAGAGGACCCCCCACCACCTCTTCCGGCCTCAGGATGGAAGAGTCCTGTCGAATTAATGGTCGAATTAATTAATGGTAATTAATGGAAAACAATCGTGTTTCTCTACGATGTCATAAGTAATATAACTGTTTGTAGGGAAGTAGCGTATCCTTGGAGGGGATAGCTGAAGAAAACTATTACATTCTTCCAGTATGTGGCTTGAGACTCCACCCCTTCACCTTTCTATTACCCAGTTACCGTGGAGTCCACATATGTAGGACCTGGTTGATCGTTAAGAAGGGTCCCATTCGATCAAAAGGGATTTTCATGTTGGGTTTTGCTTGTTCAGTTGGCTTAAATCGTACCAACTTTTATCGAGGGCCGAGTATGGCGTGGCATTCTGAACTTGGCACGGAACTGTTTACTCGTTGTAGAATATTTCGTTCTGAGCACAACTGTCATTTTCGTTCTGTGTTGACAGAGACAAGAACTAGGAAATCGTTTAGAGTGAAAATATCTGCACTAGAAAGCACTAACACCTCAAGGTTAAGTTGAAACATGCGGCCACTCCTACTCGATCTCAGGGATTTCAAGTATACATATTTCTTTGAGAGGTGTAGGCAGTCCAGATATTCCAGAGATTCGAGCAGAAATCTCTTTTCACTGCCCTTCTTACCACTCCCAACCCCCCGCTCTACGGAAGTAAAGGGTTATATGGGAGGGAAAAAATTTAGAGGATATTAGGAATAAAGCCTTCCCATTCTCATGATGTAAACTTGTTGAAAATGCCTGCATGCTGGAGAAAAGAGCAGAAGGTGGATGTGGGTCCGTATTAGAAGGCATTATCTCATGTTGCCATGCCTGGCCTTGTCAATGAAATTGCGACTGTGCTTATCGGACGAAAAAAAAGAGGATTTGTATCCCTCACCATCCCTCTCTTAATCATCGCATCTGGCGGCAAACCATAGCAGCTAGGTCAAATATCCGAAATCTTTGTAAGCGGCTTTTCTACATCCTCCGACTGTCCACTGTAACTGCAGCTACTTGGCTTCGCTTGTTTTCCGCCCCCTGATCTTCCTTTTCTGATGATCATCCTCTTTCCACCGCCCGCGCCTCTCAGAGGGACTTCCTAAGGGGCACATGACTCTTGGTTGATAAGGCAATCTCAATTGATATTTACACTCATAATACTTTTTCTAGAAGGAAACCCCCGCAACAAATAGATGCCCGATTCTAATAGCATGTTCAACAAGACAGATTCGAATAACTGTACTAGCATATGAGAGAAATAACAAGTTGTGCAGGAACTAGAAGAGGAACAGTACTCCTAAGTAATCAAGTATGACGTATATTCCTTTTAAAATTAATGCCACGTTTTTAATGTTTTCATCTTGCAGCCCTTTGCTAGGGATATTCTCTGAATCCCAGACTAGTGGCATTCATCGTCATCAACAGCTAAGACGTAATTTCACAGTGTATGAAAATACGAAAGTAAAAACTTTGAGAAATCTCATGTAATCCGTGTGCTATTTGGAAAAAACACAGAAGAAATGAACAAATAAATCCACCCGCGTTCAAGCAAAGCTCAGGTATTTTTGACATGTATTAGTACTCAAAAGTACTCGACAAAAGTGGTGTAGTGGCAAATGGCACACTCTTATCAAAGGCCGGGACCTTACCTCCCGCGAAATGCGACTCCGGCCACCTACGCCTTGAGTGATTCGGTGAATTGGTTGGCGCAGAAGTCTGGGAGGACAAGCAAGGTAACATCGTTATATGAAACACATAGTGGGGTGTACTTTCACGCAGGGGAGGAGGGGTCGTATTTGGTAGCTGTTGGGACAGGGAGGGTGGTCGTATCTGTCATTGAGTGAAAATTGCCGTGTTATGAAAAAATTTTCCCCGGCTGTTGACTTTTCGCGTGATTTTTCTGTTCCAGTGTACTATTTACCCTGCCCCTCGCACCAAAGTTGAGTAAATTTTCGTGAAGTCTCGGAAAAAGGAGTAGGAAGTTGGCGAAAATCTAAATTTTCCCGCTTAACATTGCCTATATACCCACCGGTAGACGGAAAATTTTTGGGTGAAAAACTGGAAAATGCAGGAACGTCGTAAGTAGGTGTTGGGGGGGGGGGGGACGTACCAACATCAGCATTTCACACATCACAATGCTGTCCTTGAGGATTAAGAATATTTCTTCCTAGCATCGACATACGCCACCGCATCGTAATAGGCGCCCATCAATATTTAATAAAGCTCTGCGATTATGATCGTAGGAGAAGGCGTGGCGCGTCCCAAAAAGCGGTGATCGACCTCCACCATATTACTAACAAAAACTCGAAGAAATCAAAAGGGTATTATTCATCGCGTTTCAGTAGTGTTGCAGTATTCAATCCGAACCATTAACAGCCTAAGGGATGGGTCGACCATAAGGCCTAGAAAACCAGCATGCAACTCTCCCGATTTAGTATGCCAAGCCTGTTAAGCCGTCCAGACCATATTTTATAATAGCGAACAAAAATACTACTCAATAGCAGACAAAATTACAAGATCAACATCCAGGTACCAAGCGGTAACACAAATTCAGCTAAATATCACAGAAATTCTATTGCACGGTAGGTTGAGTGCATGCTATATCCTACAGGAGGTCGAAGACGACGAAGTTTATTTCATTTCCAATAATTAATTACTTATTATTAATATTTAATCAATAGTTAGGACGAACGAAACTAAAAACTAGCAACGATAAGGATGACTGGGTAGAGGTGGTACAGTGGAGTAAGGGCGGCAGCCTACCAGCTCGTCCACCGCGATTCACTGGTGAGATCCTAGATGATTCTCATTGGGACAGACAGTAAACTCCATCCTCCCGGAGCCGGTGGATTAGCTGGTTTGTCATAGTCTGCCCCTGCAAGCCGTCATAGTCTGCCCCTGCAAGCCAATTTGAAAGGACATTACATTCAAAGTACCACTACGGTTCTGAGTGGAAGAGACAAGCGTGGCGCACCCGTAGCTGCGCAGGTTACTTTTTGAACCTATCATACGGTTTAACACGGTCAACTATTCAAGGAACCATGAGGGAAGAATACCACTCGGAAGCAGTAACTTGTGAACATGCACGCCCTGCTGTTAGGAAACGCTTCAGAATACGAAACTCCAGCGGGAGGGCGGAGAGGGGTGGGGGGGGGAAGTTCTCTCTGGTAAACCATCAGAAATAGTAAAACAGCTGCGCCGCCACTTATTGTTAAAGGGAGGGGGGGGGGATAGTACGAGCGCGCATAAAAAGAGAAAAACGAACAATCAAAAAAATCGTGCTGGACTGAAAGACCCAACTCCGCAAAGCGAAACTCTCAACCAGGGCATGTCCTGTACTTGGGATAGGTTTTTGCAAAAAACGACCACCCGAGTTTCTTCCTTTCGAGTCCCTTACTGACTTTTCACGGTCCCACTGCTGATATTCTCTAGTATGGCCCTCCTACTGACTGTTCTTAACTTCCTACTTCTCTTTCCGGACGTCACCAAACAACTACTAAATTCAA